GGTAGAGCTTACCCTAAGCCAAGGAATTTTCTGTTTCCCAGGCTCTCCAAGGAATTTTCTGTTTCCCAGGCTCTCCCAGTGAGGAGGTGCAGGAGCAGCTGGGCAGGGGTGAAAATGGCCAGGACAGCTGACCCAAACTGGCCAGAGGGTCAGCTCTGACCACACCATAGAACATCATACCCAGTACATAAACTGGGGGGAACTGGCCAGCAGGTGTCTTTGTCTCTGCTGTTTCCACCATTGCTAAGAGCACACAGAGTTCTCTTTAGTAACTAAACTGGGACTGTAGATCATTAGATGGAGTTTCCATCTGTTTCTTTTTCCAAGAGAGCAGATTGCTAGAAAAAAAGACACTGTAAACAAGACAAATAAACCAACCATTCTTCCTTGGAAGGAACTGCATTACTATGAGTCAGGGGTAGCAAACCTTTCAGCAAATTCTTCTAATTCCTCTGACCAATAATGCCTCCAACCTCCTGGACTCTAGGGGTTTCCCACTGTTTTGTCTTTTCCGGTGGGACTAGTAGCACAATTTGTCAACAGTGATAAAGTAGCCCTGCAGAAATACTAGGGGGAAAATAGGCGTAAAAAGATATTAACATAGCATTTAACATCAAGGAAAAAAATACAGCCAAATGAAGAGAAAATGTCAGAGGCATTTTATTCATGCATCCAATGCATCATTGCCTCAGGTAAGTACAGTTTTGCTAGGCTGCCTGATGACTAAACAGGAGGCAAAGAAAAACACACATCCTCTTTGAAAAGCAAAGAGAAGAGCTCTGCTTCCCTAATGGGGTTGTTATCAACCCAAAGAAATATTTTTGGGGTTTTGCTTTACAAAGCTGGTAAGTGTGGTTATTAGTTAGTTATGATAATTACTAGCTGGACACTAATATTTTTGTAGGGTTTTTTTCCTGTATATCTATTGGAGTAATAATGAATCCTATTTCTCTTATAATGTTATTAGAGTTCTTGCCAAAGAGCTTGAGGAATTGCCTCTGAGAGCATAAACACCTTCAGAAATGGAAAGGCTGGGATGAGATGATACAGGGACACTGCAGTTTGTTTGCTGGATTTCATTTTCATTCTAGGAATTGCATTTCCCTCATAGGCAGTTTCCTGTAATTGTCAGAAAAAATTTTTGTTTTGATACACATGCATATGGATTCCTGGAAAATAATGTTATTTCAGCTTTCATCATGTTCAGCAGAACTTTGGCTGAAATTAATAATGGAGACATTGAGTTGCACTTTACACAGAAAATTTCTAATGACAGGTTACATATTCATATGTAACCATACACCATACCTGTGTTCCAGGTTGTCAAATAAAGATAAGACTCATAAAGAGATATTCAGGGAGACTGAAAGGATAAACATCTTCCAGAAACAATGGCAGAGGGGAATCACGGCACACAAAAGAAAGTCCCTTTCCAAATATAATTAAGTGAATACTAACTGTCTTCATAAATAATTTTATATAAAGTTGAACCATAAAGTTCAGTTGGTGAACTTTAATTATAATTCAAATATATTCAAATATATATTCAAATAAAAGTTAATTATAAATCAAATCCATAATTCCATATTTTTCTGCCCAGTTACAGGCCAGAAAAAAATTTTACAAAGGTAGTCTTTCCCCATGGAAAAAGCTAAGTACAGTATAGAAACAATAAGTTCTTGCTGGAACAGCACAGTGTAACTTCCAAACTTCCAGTGTCAGCAGCTGGTCAGTCCTCACCACCCAGCAAGTTAAGGAGAAAAGCTTGTGGTGAACCTGTAAAAAAACTACTGGGAAAAAAAAGCCACTAGTGGCCAAGTTGAAGCTGAATTCTTGTTCCAGGGAAAGAGGAAGATAATCAGAGGGAGAAGGGGAGAGAAGAAGAGAAAGAACAGGCATGAGAGTTTTGAGATTAAAGACTTCAGGGGAAATATATATATATATATAATTGAAACATAGCACCCATCAAGGACCTCTCTTCGGGAGAGCCTCCCTTGCCGAGCCCCATTCGCCACCAGATGGCCCCATATGGACGCGGATGATAATTGGTTACTTGCTCCAAAGACTTCGGGCGTTTCAATCTTTATTTCCAAGGATCCTAGCTGTCCAGCAGGGAAACAAACCTAAACGCCCAAAAGTCTGGCCTCATGAGGCTGGAGAGTTTAAACAGTCCAGGTTCAAGAGCTCTGATCAGAGTACACGTCTCAAGTCTGGGATGTATCTCAAGTCATGGAGTATCATGGTTCAGTTTTTAAATCACAGTAAGTGACTTGTTCCTTAGAAGGGTTGGCATTGAATTAGCACTGAATTGACAGTACAAGTGGGAACCTAATAATATGTGACATACCTGGGTTCATACTTTCAACCTATGTGGCATTTGTAAAGTCACAGGTTTGCACTGGGTGCTCCAGGAGAGCTGGAAACCACCTGGAGCTGAGAATTAGAATGAGTAGAGAATTCACAGGAGGGCAGCACAGATGAACAGAAATGAGACATTACCAGTGTGCAAAGCCTGGAAAATTTGCTTGCTAAGCTGTTTGACAAAGAGCTTTGTTGGCCAGTTGCAGGCAGCAGCTGGCATTGTGGGCAGGGTCCTGAGTAAAAGTTCCTAGCCAGAAGCTATCTTCAGGATAATAATCTGCTTATATTAATTTGATTGCTTTTTTCCTAGGTTTGTTTCTTACATGTGCTGTCTTCCTGAGATAGGATGGATCTGAAGTCAATTGTTTAATGTTCAGATGTCAGGTGCATTCTCTCTTAAATTCATCACTATACTTTCCCATGCTTATTACAAGCTAAAAATCTTAAGAGGCTATTTCACCGTGCAGGCTGAGAACCAATCTTAACTGATTTCTGAGGGTGAAAAAAACTTACCAACCCTGCAGAGAATGATGGCCCCTCATGAGAGAGGATTTTCCTGGCACTTTTGGTGTATGATTAACAGAGGCCTCTGAAACCTGCTGTAAATACCAAAAAGAGCTTTCTTCCTTAACCACTAAACCTATCTGAAGAGAAGATGAGTTTAAGTGTCGGGTGGAATGCCCTCAAAACATCTTTCACTTTATATTTACATCTCAGATTGTAGTTGGTAATATCTCACACAAGCCTTCTGAAAATAATTGCAATATATCCAGCAACATTCACCTGGCAATAAACTGTGCCTGAGTAAGTCAGCATCTGCAGCACCTGTTTGGAGGCCCCACCTGGGAACTCAGCAGGAGTCCATACGCTCAATTCAGGTGAATACTGAAGAAGGGATCTGGGGAAAAAATGGAGGACAATGCAATCAAGTGAGGTAAGAGTTGGAATATTAGTCATAGATTTGTACATAAAAAGCTTTCTTCCTAGTTCTGCTACATAATAGAAATATAAACTGGAGTATGCCTATCTGGATTTGGGTACTCAAGCTAAGTTCTGCTCTGAGCACCACTTGTGGCTGGATTATTGCACCTTTGGTGGGACTACACAGATGCTGCATAACCTTGTTAACAATGGCTTTACAGGATGAAATGAGACTTTTTGAGAAAACTCTTTCATCTTGCTAAGCTTTGGTACATCTCAAAAAGAAGCCATAATCATGGTCCTGAAGATGTAAAGGAAGTGTTCTTGTAGTGGTGAGCAAAGGTGAGGTGCAGATGGGTAATGCTGAAACAGTGTGGAGCCATTTCCTTTTCACAGACCTGATCCTGTTATGCATCACTCATTTTTGCTCTGCTGATTCATTTGGAATTTCCATCTCAGTATAGCGACTGAGATTTATGATCACTTGAACTTTTTCTATAAAAATAGTTCTTACTAGAAGCAGCATTGTAACTGCCCCCCTGTGTACATTTGATACCCGTTCAGGACTTGCAAGAGGAAATTCCTGAAATTCCAGACATTTCTATGAGCTAAATTCTCTGCCTGTTTTAATTTTGTTTGGTTTACATTGATTTATGTATGTCACCAAATTCAATTACTTTTTCTTTTACACTAAAGCATGTTCTAAATTATAATACTGGAAGGAAGAGAGGTAAGGACTGCTGTGACAGAGAGAAATCATGTCAGGCTAAAAGCAGAATCATGGAGTGTTGGTGCCTTTTTCTTTTCCTGTTTCCTTTTCTTTTTCTACTTTTATGACAGAAAAGCCAAAAAAAATATGGTTATGATCAAGCTAAAAGCTTTTGACTTATAAACACTCCAAACACAGGAATGCAATCACCTCATGGCTCTGAGCAGTGAGCACTGCAGTTTGTCTGATGTGCAATGACTTGCATGGGCGGTGTTTCCTCTTCTTCTTCCTGTTAGTCTGAGACACGCCTGTGGAACAATGAACACTTGAAGTTTCATTGCTCACACTTTTTATTCTGTTCACGGTTGTCCTGCTCTTTGGAGTTCTCTGAGCAAGAAACCACTAATCACAGTTTACCTGTTAAGACACATGTTCAAAACTCTGTGAAAAATTAGGACTGCTTGCAGGCAGAATAATTGTTTTTAAAGTGGAAGAAACAACTTCTTCAAGGAGCAGCTGGTGACATGGTCTCCACTGCTGATATACACTGATCATCTGTTAGATCTGTTATAATTCCATGAAGAAAGTGTGATATCAGGTTTGTGGATACCTATCTTGAAAGTGTGTGTGAGGATTTCCATGGGAGTGGGAAAAGTGTCTTATTTTCTCACTGAATTGTGAGAATAGGTAATCTCACTCAATAGGCAGATTTGTGGGAAAGATGCAAGCTTGACTTCACAAGATTTTTTCTTTCTTTTCCTTTTTTTTTCCACTTACTTGATTTTTTTCTCCAAACTGGAGAAATAAATATGCATTAGTATTTAATAATTGTTTCAATTCTTTCAAATTTCTGTGAGGCAAGCATATATTAATGTAGCAAAACAAAGGCAGGCAGCTTTGTATTGGTTGTTGTCTAATAGTGTGTGGCCTTTGTTTGAATTTGATAGAACAACTTTGCGGTGGGTTTTTTTTCTGAACAGATGCTCTTGAGAAGGATGAACAAATAGACTAATGTGTTAACTCACTACAGTTTATTAAGGTAATCACAAATTAACATTTCAATGATCATATCGCGGGCATATAACAATAAATCAGAAGATTAATTATGACATTCCCTCCCCATTCAAATCCTCCCCAGGGCCTGAGCCTCACCACACTGCCTCCACCCTAGCTCCCAGCTGCAAGAATCCATTTTCCACCCAGGAGCACCATCAAGGGTTAGCATCCAAAGGAAAGAAGTTCCACTGAGGGTTATTCTCTGTTCAAAAGTCAGGAGGGACCCCAGCTTTGCTTAGAGCCTTGTTCTGGACATTGCACTTGTAGGCAAGAGACAGTAAAGGAAGCCTCTCTTCCAGGCCATAAAGAGACACTTGTGTTTTAATTTTCATCATAAAGTTTACAGGTGTCTTGCAGTTCTTGCAGGCTGTTTTAGACAATATCCAGAGCCTTCATTATATTACAACATCAAAAATTATTTTTTTCTGTTTTCCAACAGATTATTCTCTTTTCCAACCCATTATTCTCAATTTATTACTGATGGTAATACAAAATTTATGCCGTTCTTATTTGATGCTGTGTCCTAAACCTGTTGTTACATAGGCAGACATGCCCACACGTCCTCTGCCGCTTTTTTTTTGTTCAGATCCACACCAGACAAACAGCATTACAGCAGCCAGTGATCTGAGGCAACGTGCTACATACAGTTCTCTATAGGCAAATGGCAAAACTCAAAGTCTGCTGTGAATAGTTACAGAGATTTTTCTGCTTTAACAGATACCCTTCTGCTACTGACTAGTGCTTGTGATGAATGAATTAGCCATCAGCTTTCTGCCACCACTGTAGGAACAATATGTGAAACTCTGTGAAAGAGGAAATAAGAATAGAAAGCCACTCACATCTAACAGCAAGAAACTGGAGGGGGGTGTTAACACTGCATGCTGATAGCAAAGACACCTATCAAACTCTGTCAGTATCATTTCTTCAAAGCTTTCCTAGGCTGGATGAGGGTGCCAGAGTACAAAATACAGTACATATTTTTAGATATACTTACAGCTTCAGATACAGCTCTGGAGGGATCTCTCATGAAGAAGAGAGTTATGAAGCAAATATTATTCCCCTCTACCTCTGCATGATCTGTCAAAGAATGTAGGAGAAGCATGTAGCTCTGATTCAGGGAAAAGAGACTGCATCCTTCTGCATAAACTTAACTTAGATGGGAATAATTTCCAGCTTCCTCTGACTAAAGAAAACTAACAAGTAAAGGAAAAGAAAAACCTGCATTAACTACAGAGTTGCCAGGGTGGCATGAACAATCCAGTATTGGGGGCTAGTAGGATTATGGGAATACCAAATACGGTGGTGGTGAGGGTGAGATCCAGAAATATGAATCATTCTGCATAAAATCATAGCCTTTTTTTCTTTATTTCTTTTTTTTATTTCTTTTTTTTTTTTTCCAAATAGTTTTGCTGCTCTTGCTTGGTCTTCTCACTTTGGATCTCTCCTTGTGCCAAAGCTGCCCCATTTATGAAATAGTCAGCCAGCAAGACCTACCAGATGTACTGAATGCTAGTCCTGGCTTGTGTACAATCTGCTGCCAAGGGGGATAGAGAGCACTTCTTTCTGGGCCTTCTCCTGTCACTGTGGCCTGATCACTCTCTCCAGCTGATGTTGTATATCACTGCACCTTCCCACTGGAGCAGATAATTCCTGCAACCCACTTCCTCCACTGGGAGGGCTCCTCCAAACTCTCATAACTTAAATCCCATTGTGTCCATATTTCACAGTCTTCTTTTCCCCCTCCCTTGGTCATGCTGCTGGCAGCAAAGGCTGTACAGATTGGTGGCTGCTCTGTGATTAACTTATTTTATCTGTCTTTTTCTGTGTGATGAGAAGCTGAGAGCACACTTTGGGTCCAAAACTAGCCTGCCAGCCTTTCTACATTTGCAGATTTAGCTGAGAGGAACTAAGTGCATTTGAGGGATTTTCAATTTAGCTGCTGAGAGACTGACATCCCCTAGACAGTGCCAATAGTCACAATTAATTGCTAAAACTTGTTACAATTAATGTGGTCACCAATTAATATTTGAATATAACTAGACAAAAGATTTCATTTTAAAGGGGACAAATCTCATGCTTAATATAATAGCAGTTATAGACCCCTCAGTGATCTAAAACCAATAAAGAAGGGGGTAACAGTTTGAGTTGTTTCTCCCATGTTTCACTGTTCCTCTCACCATAACTCCAAATTTATTTGCACTCATTCTCCTGTAAGGTGAGAAAGCAACAGGTAGAACAAATGTATTCTCTAAGGTTACCCAGCTCCTCCCAAGTGCCATGCTCAGGTAAGTCCAAGGGCTTGTGGATTCCAACAGTACAATTGGGAAAGCCCAAACCTTGTCCCCACCATGCTGACTGACCTGCCCATTGACTGCATGTTAAGTGCTTTGGGAGAATAAATAAGAGTCACTTTTCCACAGAGATTTTAAATCATGCACCACCCCAGTTGTACAGTTTAGAAATTACCTCTAACTACTTCTCTTAAAAAAATCCAATGCATTTTTCAGACCTTCTGCTAAAATCAGACCATAATGCTTACAAAAGTGGTGAGAAGGGTTTGTAAAGTCACCATGAATACCATATCTGCTCATCAGAAGACTTTTAAGAGCTATAATGGAAACTTTGTCTGAATTGCTGACAGCTGTGTTTCTTGAAGGACAAGGCTGATGGGCTGTGATGAGAGCATTGCTAGAGAGGAAGATATTCTGGCATTAGGTTCTGTGTAATGTAGCTTCAAGCATCTGAAGTTACTTGCTCTTTTCCTACAGTATTCATGATCAAGACTCTTTCAGACAGAGTGGTTAACTCTCAAGCAGATTATTTATTATTTCTTATGTCTTTTTCTAATTAAAAAAATGACATAAAAATAATGTCCTGAAATATTCAGTGTGAAAAACAACATTTTTCGTCCTTCCCATGTCTCTAGTAGACCAGTAGACCAATATCTGTCACTTATGAACAGTTTTCATGAAACAAATGTAAGCTGTTAAAGATCATCAGGAAGAAAATAATTTTAATAGGTGAAGGTCTGCATGATACAAGAAGTCATGACAGGGACTTTTATAAGAGTGCTTAGGATGATAAACCATATCTACAAACTCCAGGATAATCTCAGCAGCAGTCACCAGCCTGCCTACCAAACACCTGTGAGGACAAGTTCAGCCTGTTTGGTACAAAGGAAACTGTTTTTTGTTTAACCTACATTTAGTTGTTCAGGGAAAAATGATCCTCATATTTCGTAGTATAGTTGAACAAAAGAAAATCCATTTCATACAATTTTTTTATCTTCTCAATTTGTTTTGAGGTCAATTGTCTGAGGTACTCCAAGGTTATATCACCATCAGTTCGTTTCTCTGAGCTATATCTCTTCAAGCTGGGGTATTGCAGGCTCTCTGGTGCATCAATGGCCTTTAGAACATGATCAGAGTCCCATCCAAGAGTTTCATACTTACCCAGAATATCATAGTGAATGTTGCAAGGATCGCAGAGCAGAAACATTGGTTTCCAGTGAATGTCAAGCCTATGTGGTGGTTTTGTTATAATGAAGTTGACAAACTCCTGGAAACTCACTTTTTCAGAAGAATTTGTATCTTTCCTGAACATTGCCCTAATCTCATTAGCAACAGTGGTACTGTAGAATGGTTCAGAGTGCAGGAGTTTGTCTCTGTAAGCTGAAACCAGCCTTTCCAAGGGATGTCTGGTGAACATCACTTTGGTGTAATTGCTTAGAAATTCCTTTTGTAAGGCAGGAGGGTAAGACAAGAGCCTTTTGATCAGTGTGGTATGGTGGATTTTGACATGCTCAATTTCAGAAGCTTCTGTATTCAAGTCTGATTGAAGAAGAAAAATAGTTCTCTTCCAGTTGGAGCAGCCTACCTTGGGCACCTCACAGTAGATGAATTTATGCTTGTGCTCCACAAAGAGCTGGTATGCAACATGAGAATCCAATTTTCTTCCTGGTTTATTAAGGTTATTCTTCAGGCAGAAAGAAGCCAGTGTGGTTTTACGACTGTTTTGAATTGCCAGCCAATTTTTGGGAAAAGTATCTGCAACCAAGGAAGAAATTTAAACCATTTCAGTGAAATAGGCTTGTATAAATCTCTTTATCTGTGGCAATCATAGCACTCAATCTATCACCCTGCATACAAAATCTAGATGCTAAAATCAATTTTTTTTACTGTAACCAGACTATGGCAAACATACAATAAACTACCCTCCCTAGTGAAACATTTATTAAAATGAAAATTTTCAATATATTAGCAGTATTAGTCTAAGCAAGTTTGATGTTCCAACATCATGTTTTTATAGTGCCCTCTTCTCGTATATTGCTGAGATAACTACCACAGTGACAAGGCCTTGGATATTTTCACAGTATTGTTTATATCTTGGGCTCCATAGTTACTTTCTAACACATTTGGAGAAGGGGTCTCTCTTTCTATAAAACATTAAATCTTGTTGGTAATTTCTTTACTCACCTGTTAGGTTCTTTTGTCTCTTACTGAAAAACCCAAGAAGAAATAGCCCAAATAAAAAGTTTGGGAGAAGGAAAGCTAACACCCTCTGGTTCATGTTATTCTCACAGGAAGGAAAATTACGTCGTCTCTAAAGTGGAAATCTGTCTCTCTGTCAACAAGGAAAGATAATTCAGGTTAGATTTTGTATCACTGATATAACAAAGATAACATGTAAATCTCCTACAGAATTTAGGACAGCAGAAAGATATTTCAAGCCCTATAAAAATAGGGTTTGCTAATAAGTAAAAATTATCTTATGGAAAAGACTCAACATAATTATATTGTTAAACCAAATAGATAAATATGTCCACTTAGAAGTAGTCAAAAATTCCTCTTTTTCTCAGAACAGTGAACTGCTTATGAGCAAATACTGCTTCCTTGTCTTTTAAAGCTTCTGGGGAACAACAACTTCATTTAGGGTTACAAAGTTGTATTTTTTTTATAACCATTAGAATCTCAGAACACAAAGATCTCTATAACTTGTAACAGGTGTATCCACAAAGACCATGACATATTCAGGATTAATTTCTTTCCATTTATTACCCTGAAGCTTTCTACTTTGGACAAATGAACCCCTGCAGGAGAAACTCTTCCCTATTTCTGCAGAGAATCCACACCACTAACTTGAATTCTCCTATTCTCCCTCTCCAAAGACACTGCAGGGTATATATGTTTGCTGCCATTGCTGCTGCACCAGAAGAGCCCCCAAATGGTTCAGAAAGACAGGAAACATATAGAAGCAGTAGAGGAAACAAGAGAAAAGGAGCTGTTCTCTGTTCCCAAAGAAAAGGAAAGAAGGCAGTCCAACACAACATATTTTCTCTCTTGTGCTCACTCATTGTCTCCTTGCACCTCATGGAGAGAGGCCAATCTAAATCTTCTGTGCAATCTTACTCTGTTTCTCCCAGGAGAGAGCTCTTCATCAGCATACTTTTATTGGAAGTTGCAAAACAATAACTACTGGCAAACAGGACATTCTCTTTCTGTTCCATTAAGTCTGTACAATCAAAAGAGTCAAACAGCACTGTTTTCATTTCCCACTTCTCAAATTTTCACCCTGAACCTGTTGGCAATAAACATATCATTGCCTGGATTCCTTGAGGCTGTAATTTATTTTTTTTTTTCAATTTTCTTCTTTTTTTTCTGTTTTTATAAGATACAATAGGACTACTTCGGGCATTGTCTGTGTGCCACCTATTGTGTGGATATACATAAACCCCAACTGCCATAACAGAAACTGGTTTCTGGTATGTTCTGAGACAGCAGTAGATGCAGCATCAGTTACATTGCTGAAACTGTACTTGTACACAGGTTTTCTCATTTCCTCTTTTCAGGCTGATATGTGATTTTGATATCACATACTTTTACCAGAATATCTGCAGACTCATAGAATTAACAGCATTACTGACAGTTAAATCTCTCTTAGTGTAGGTAAGACCTGGGGAATAGAGAGGGACACTGTTCACTATGTCTGTGTTAAAAATTTACTTGTATTTACAATAAAATGTTACAATACTTATTCAAATTAATGCAGTATTCTTAGACACAATGGCATTTAGCCTACACTTCTTCATTTTCTTGGTTGTATAAGATCATTGTAAAGGCTACAAGAAAGGTTATGGGAAGGTCTGCCTTTTCTTCACTGTACATCAATTCTCATTTCATGATGTGATTCTTGAGTCCTAATGCATCCGACGCTGTTTTCAAGGCCATCTAAAGTCAGTCAGGCTGTTCATTGATCTCATGAGGGCCAAAATTGAGTGTTCCCTTTTTATTCTTTTTCAGAAGTTTGAAAACACAACTTCACACTATGTAGCAATTAAAATCAATATAACATTAATAATTCTGTACAAGGACTCCTTGTTAGAGTATGCTTAGGAGAAAGGTATTGGGCTTCATTCACTTTGAATGCTGTCACTTCAGAGAAGTAATGTTATCATACCTGTCTCAGGAATCAGAAAATTAACTAGATGAGTTTTACCCTATTTAGATACTTGTATCATGCATATTTACCTCTACACTACCACTAGAGAATACAAGGTTTGCTATAAAACATATTACATGTGGAAACATGTCAATGAATCACAGGGAAATAGAAGGCCTTGCTTCCTTGGGGGAAAGAAGCTCTTTAGGAGCTAGTTAAACACAGGAGAGACCTCCTCTTCTAAGACTTATGCATATTTGTGGAAGAAAAAGAATCTTTAATTAAATTCAGGAGAACAGTCAGACCATAAGAAAGGATAGAACAAGCTCCAAGATGACAGGGGAAATACTTCTGGACTCCTTAGAAAACTTCATGGAGCAGACTAGCTCTAGTAAGAGTCAATACTGCCCTCAACAAGTGAGGTCAACATGACAGGAAGCTACCTTAGGGTGAAGTCCAAAGCCTTCTTTGGAAGACGTTCTCAGATGTGAGACCCCAGTACAGAGTTCTGTGTAATGCAAAGTTTCCAGTGATGTAAATCACCTAAGGGAAACCTGAGGAAAAGGAAGAGAGAAAATTCTGAGAGCCATTTTGTTAAAGAGGGACAAGTTACCAGGAAATTAAAAAGGAGGGAAAAAATCCAAAATGAAAAGCACCTTTGTAAGTAGTGTCCATGTCAGTAATTCAGATGAACTTTTCCTTATATTTATTATGGCTTTTCCATATACTTGTAATTGTGTTTACTATTTAAGATGTAATGAGTTAATACTTGCTTTTTTTTGGAGCCTGACAAGTTAATTAGTGTTTAATATCTTCAGTGTGTGTCCAGCTGATTTGATGTCTTTCTAGCTTCTTAGCCAAAACATGCTAACATGTCATGTCAAGTCAAATTCTTTATACAATTCCAAATCCACTATATCAGTGCTATTACCTTAATCAACCAAAGCTAAGCAAAAAAAATTAATCAGTCTGGTGACATCTGTTTCCTATAACATAATCCAAAGTTTCTTCATGAAAACAACCAGAACAATTGCTCAAGCCAAGAGTGGTAACAAATGGGGAATAGATTACAGGAGAAAGCAATGCAAATCATCTCATGTGCATGCAAAATGGCTAAAAGACCTGAAGCCCTCATAAAATTAAAAATATTTACTGAATTCAAGCCTTCTTTGCACTACTGACAATTCTACCATGGTCTTCTACAATTCCATTTTAAAGATTCTTTTCTTCCTGATAAACACACTGAAAGTAAAAAACACAAAAAAATTTTATCATATTGTTCATATCTTTGTTGTCAAGTTTACTGACCATAAAATGTTCTTCCCATCCTTCTGTTTACTTCAAGGAATTTCTGACAATTTTCTGCTTTTAATTACTTTCAACATCTCCCTTTTCTACATGGTACACTGGTTATGGAGGTTGCTGGCAACCTACTTGCACATCCCCCACATGGCAAGCAGGACTATCTGACCCAGAAAGGCTCTCTATCTCTGTACTGTACTTTTCCAGGAGTGACACAAAACTGTCATATGCTGGACTTACTGGATATTTTTTCAGTTAAGTTGTGTTTTCTTGATTAATTTGTCTCATGCTTGCTTTACATTTTGTGATATTAGACCTTCTGCAACCTTCCTGTATGTCTGATAGCTGTCCGTACTCTACCTGAGCACGTGTACCTACACCACAACACTCACACTTATCCAACCACCAGATTTGGGTTTATGAATTCCTTTCCCCCAACCAAAACAAGGTTTGACAGAAAATGTTTAGTACTCATTCAATTAGGAAATACCCAGTCAAAGATGTTTTAAAGATAGTCACACAAATACATGACCTAACACATCACACTCAGACCGGAGTTCTTCCTCTTGCCATGCAGATTTATTTCTACAACAGGCACCAAAGGAATAGGTTGCATTGCCTTGCATTGGTATCACTTGTACACTGTTGGATACTTGAACTGCTGAAACAATGATTCATAATATAGTATTCCCTAATCCTTCTCCTGGAACTTGTGAGCCATTGCAATTGAAAAATCTTCAGTATTTAAAGAAATAGAACAAAAAAAAAAAACCCTCAAAAATGTTTTTATACTTCCATAAACAATAAGAAGTACTACAGCTGGAAATACTGAATACTGTTAAATCTTTTAATAGGTGTGGCGCCTATTAACCCAAGTACAGAAACACATGTACACACACATGTACATATATATATATACACACACACACAAATAGTTCCAAAACCCATTAATATCAGTTACACTGGCATATTATTTGCTCCAAGTAAACTAACAAAGTAGACCGATAATGATTTAAAGTCTTTTGATAATAAGCTTACAAAGGTATGTCTCGAGATAGTTTTTCACAGACAGACCTTGGTCAGAGCTGAACATGTGGGGTGATCCTCTGCACCCACTTGATAAGTGGAACTTTTCAGACTAAAAGAATGAAATTACAACAATACTTATTTGTGTTTCTGATACATTTGAAGCCAGAAGTAAAAGGAAGTACCAGTACAGCAGCAGTGGAAGGTAAGGAATAATCTCTGAAAACAGATAACATTCTCAGTTGCTGAACCCCATTCTGTACTTAAGCCCTGTTAATCCCTTGAAAAAGACAACTGAAAATACATACATACTGATATGTGTATGGGTACATAGAAGGTGATGAGGAGATGATGGATAGAAAGTCCCCAAGAACAGCCTGGACAGAAAAAACAAGCTTTGGATGCAGTTCTGCATGTGCTGTTCTATCAGAATGAATTGCAAGAGCAAGACCCTTGTTCAACCAAATCTGCAGCACCCTTGCTTCTGTATAGGTTGTTATAGGTGGACAGGAGGGAGAAAGACCCCAGAAAGTGGAGCCTTAGCAGCCAGGCTGGCCTGTCCATTAAGTGGAAAATCAGTAATGGGTTAGGAAACCCATGCAAGTTACAGACAGCCATGGGCTAGAAAAAGTGTCTGATCAGGTCATGTTGGCAACAAGAGACAGCATTTGACATCATCTCATTTGCCATAAGGCTTCAATGGTGTTAAGTGAGAATGGCTAGGAGCTCAGTGGGGTGACAACATACGGGCTAGGCTGGGAGCTACTGAGGAACAGGCTGACAAGGGTGTCTGTCTTGGTTTGAAACACAGGTGTCTTCTAGGGAAGGCAGGGCCCTCCCTTGGAATGGAAAATGTAAATCCCCTCTCTCTGAATTACTATAATTTTGTAATTAAGAGGCTCTCAGGCAAAGATATGGGAATAGGAGTAACAGTTCTTTACTAGTATGTACAATAAAGCAAACAAACAACAGCTCTGGCGGCACTACCACCAAGCAGAAGACGGGACCCCGTGAGGGCTCTTGGCCACAGGCGCTCTCCCCTCACTGCTGTTCCGGGCACGGCCGGCAGGGGGCGCTGCTGCTCCCGCCGGGCCGGGCGGGGATTCCCCCGCTCCGGCAGGGGGCGCTCTGGCGCGGGCCGGGGCCACACGCGGTGATGGCGGCTCGGCCCAGACCGGAAGGGTTGGGAGAGAGGCTTTGCTTCACAAACTGCCCTGGGATAGCCGGTCCTCGTGGCTCAGCAGGACTTAAGGAAACAGCAAGCTCAGCTAGCAAGAATGAGCAAAAATCCCGGGGTGGTAGCAAGGTGTATCAGAAGCTCCAGAGGTGTGGCTGGAACCGTGGGATGTCTGGGCGGGCAGGGGGTGCAGGGCTACAGTGCAGAGAGAGCCCGGAGCAGTGCCGAAGGAACAACAGGGACGGGACAGCAGCGGCCCGGCTCCCAGCAGGGCAGAGAGGTGTGAGCCCAAGATCCCAGGCACCCGAGCAGACGGGGATAGGTTCCTTGTTTAGTGAGGTAGGTGTGAATAAGGTCCCAGTTCAGTGGCTGCTCTTACAAGCAAAAGGCTCACCCACAGAAAGGATGAGGCAGTACAGCACTGGACTCCATTGGTGACAGTGAATCCTCCTCACAGTAAGCAACAGCCTGCCTGTCCTCACTTCCAAACCCAGAGTGTGAGGCCTAGTAGTTCCCCAGCCCCGTCTTTTGCCTGCCAAATCTCCGGGTATCCCCTCCCCTTTCCCCTGAGTTTGGCCACTTTCGTTTTTCTTAAGTAGCCATAAGAATCCAGTAGTTAGTTTCCTAGCAACTTATGGGAAAAAATTCTATAAGTGAAAAAGTAAGAAAGCCAGTCCCCAATGGTGTCCTACAGAACAACACACTTCACAGCACTGATGTGAAACAGAGAAATGAATAATTAGGAATCAAGCATAAAGAAATGCTTTGACTAAAAGGAGAGGGCTGCCAAAACCATATGAAATACTTACTGGTCCCACAAAAGCAGAAAGAGAGCAAGACTACAAGATCTAGATCTAGATTCTAGATAAGATATAGAATCGAAAACAAGATGCAAACACAAAGGCACCACAAGATAAGAGGATTTTTTGGACCCCTAAGCTGGGAGAAATGGTATCAAAGTCCAAAAGATGGTCAAAGGACTAAAAGGAGAATGCACAAGGAGACAAGGTGGAAAGTTCAACTGAGAAGAAAATCGCTGATTTCATCCCAAAGACCCCCAGACGACCATCAGAGTGACCAACAAGGAGCAGTGTGCAGTCGCAAGGACGCATGGAGCTAATTTTAATATGAAACAGGGACAGGTGGGGTTAGGGAAATGAATATGTATTAGGCATATTGTGTAACCCTAGTTTATAGAGAATAAAAAGAGAGGAGGAAGTCTCCAGGGTGTGCATGCCTTTGGAGGAGCTATCTCCCATGCACCTCAGCGCTGAATAAATACATACCTACTCTTATAACTTACCCTGTGAGTTACAGTTTTCTTTCCTCATATCAGACCTGGGTACAAAGCAACAATTTCCATTACAGGCACAATCTAAAATTCTTGTTCTGTGGTCACCTCAGCCCTCCATTACTGCATCAGACTTCTTTCTGGTCTCAGCAAGTGTAGTAGCTTCCTTGTAGCAAGTGTGTAGCAAGTGATACCTTCCTTGCTACCATCATTAATCTGCTTATTATTATATCACTTCTTATGCCTGCCTTTTAGCTTTCCCTTCTCTGCTTAATTCTATGTCCTTTCCTTGTCTTGCCTTCCAAAGTTTTTTGTTATCTATCATTTCGCATGCAGTATTAAAAGCTCAGCTTTACTTTCTGATCCATCAGCCCCTGTTACCATTAGCCCTTGATAACAAAGAAGCAATTCTTGCTTTCTCCTCTGCTGCCCCTGCTTTTGGGTGAAGTTTATGAAGCACCTACAGAGCCATTACATTTTTCATCTAAAATCACTCTTAAAGGTCTTCCCTTTCAGGGATGCCAACACCAGTTATGATGCCAGTGTGCTAAAACTGTTTCCAACCAGTCCACAAAAGAGCAAGCAAAAGGAAGAGCCAGTTTGGGGATGAAAAGGACCAAAGTGAGGAGACAAAAAAGAGTACATGGGGAAAGGCTGCAGCAGGTCTGAAAGAAAAGCTGCCAGAGAGAGGCAGGAAGCAGAAACCCAAGGAAAAGTGGCAGAGCTGGGGCCAAGGGAAATAGAAAGGTTCTGTAGCCTGTTCTAACAATGTTGTGGGAAAGGAAAGTGTTGAAAAAGACACAAAGTATGATTCAGTGAAGATGAAGAAGAATTCAAAGAAATTAGTACAGAAAGCAGTATGCTAATTATCCAATAAACTATCACAGGCGTTTAAAAAGGAATGGGACTATATGCACTGCAGTCATTCTTGCACGGGAACCCGGCCCTTAGATGTGATCAAACCTGTATCTCTTTTCCTTCCTGGAACCACAGCCAGAAAGGCTGCAAACTTCTGATTTTCTGAGAAGAGATAGGTTCAGTGAGGAGACCGAGCTGGTGGGTGGGCCCAGCTGGGCTGGAACCTGGGAAGCTGGAGACCGGCTCTGCAGGAACATCGCTGGGACAGGGACTGGTGGCCTCAGGAGGCTGTCATGGAGTCCTGGGCTGTGGGCAGTAGGGGACAGCCGCAGGGGACTGGACAGTGCCCTGTTACTGCTTCTGGTGCCTGGCATCTGGTAATGGGCTGTGGGGCCTTTTTATCTAAACACTTAATTCAAAATTCCATGCACTTGTCAGCTGCCATTTAAATCACTGCAAAACCAATCACAGGAGAACAAACTTCACCGCTTTCTTTTAAGGAATCTAGATAAGACTAAAGAACCTGGAAAGAAGGAAAAAGGAGAAAAGAGAAAGTATGGAAGAAAGTTTAAAACAATGCACCCTGCCAGGGTGGCAATGAATGATCTCCTCCCAAGCTTGTTTGTGAGACATGTGCCTCACAAAATCCCTCTGCTTTGTCATGTGTATAACTAACTCTCTGCCTTTGGATATGTCTTACTGTCCCCTCCCATGTTTCTCTTCTCAGACAATGTCAGTAATAGCAATGTTTTCCTTGCCATTCAGGTCTACCCACCTTGCCACAGATCTAGATCCTCTTTTGTCCCCTCCTGCTTTTCAAATCCCTGTGCAAGCTTGGTTCATTTTTTCCTGCCATTGCACACCAAATAGCACAGTCAAAACTGTTTGTAAAAGTCCCAGTTACTCAGCACACTGCCCCCAGGCAAACTCCTGTTTGCTGTTCACTTTGTTATACCCTTGTGTCCCCACCCGTAATATCCCTTAACCGTAATTGATGACAGCTATGACCTCTCTTTCCCTCATTACACTCCAGTGAATACAAAGCGTTTCTGCTTAAATGCTTTTCCTTTTTGCTCCTATCTCCTCCAGCCTCTCCTGTCATTCTAGTCTAGATTTTGAACCTTATTTTTAGAATCCAAAACTAATTTTGTCTGAAACTATACCTCTAATTTGCCCCCACTCATTTTATTTTTTATACTCCTTTGAAGACTCCTTTACAGGAATCATGTACAAGTCCTAACACCAGTGATTTGGCTTCTGCTCTTTGACAGAAATAACCTCTTTGCCTGAAACACCCTGACAGTTACTGACAAACTGTGTGTATACCTTTTTCTTTCTTCCTACATGAATCTAGGCCTATTCTTTCTTTCCCTTCTGCTCTCATCTGTGTTGCAGAGCAAGCTGTTCAGCAGAAATGTTATGTTAAAAATCTGTTTCTATGAAACATGTTTTTATAGCATACTATGACACATGCAGTATCAAAAATTAAGAAGTTTGGAGACAGTAGGATTAAAGTGATAAGTTAAATCATAGCATAAAATGGAGTGTCTGCTGGCTTTTGGCAGAACAGTCTTGAAACTAAAGACTTGACATTTCAGACCATATGACGTTACAGTACACTCTAAGTTCAAAATATTCTTGTAGATTCAGTTGCAGATACAAATGCTTGAAAAGTCTGCAAATATGATTTCCAGAGTCTGCTCAAGTATCCAGAAAATAGAGAATGGACAGTCAATGAGTCTCTGAAAAGGTGGGTGCCCCACACCACATGGGATTATCATAGCAGACAAAGAACACAAACTCTCCTCCTAAAAAGTCTTGCCTGGTTCACTGTACACCTTCCTTTGTCTGCCACAGATAGTGGGGATCCTACTAGGCAGCCCTTAAGTGCCTCAAAAACATGTTCACTCTGTGAACAACATATCAAATTGTGTGGAGTATTCTGTTTCTTTAAATCCCAGGTGTTGAAAAGCTACTTTAAAAATGTATTCATGAAGTATCATAACAACATGCACAAAAATCATTGTTAGTGGTGAATCAGCTCCCTCAGCCAGTCTTATGATATTCACTCTAATGGAGTAATCAACAGTGGCAGCAGATTGCTATCTTCTGAACAAACCCATCAGCAACAGTGACAAGTCCCAAACTCATCAGTCCTACCTGCTGGCAGCAACAAAACTGTGAGACTTGGCCATGTGGGATGTCATTCCTGGCACTGAAGCAAAATGGTCCATAGCATCATAGCTTGTCCCTGCATCCCCTGCTCCCACCATTAGCATGGCCTGCCCAGAGTCTTCCTTCCTGTCCTGGTATCCTCACTTCTTTCCACTCCACTTTGCAGCAGCACTCCAACACTCCTGCTCAACACATATTTGCATGGGCACCAGAGCTTTTCCCTTAGCCCCCATCCCAGGTGTGACCCCTGTCTTTCCCAGTCCCTGCTCCTACTCCTCAGGCAAAATTTTAACCCAATGTCCAGAAAATTCTCACCTCCAAAAGCCTTCCTCATATCATCCCCAGGCAGCTTACCCAGCAAATCCTGTTTTCCGGCTTCCCAAACACTCATCAGATCTCACCCTGATTCTGCTGTTCAGCCTTCCTCATGCACAAGCTAGCTCTTCACTGGCTTCCCCTGCCAGACTCCTCCCTTTCTCTCTCAGTCAGCCTCACAGCCCCCCCTCCAGTAATCACATTTCCGAGCCCATCTCTTCAGAAATGTCTCTCCTTCTACTTCCAAGATTCCCACGCAGCCCTACTGCTTCTCACTCTCAGTTCTGCACTCAGCTAGTTCCAGGCTCTACACTTCAGCTTCTATGGTTATTTTAGTATCTCCCAAACTAAACTGACACATTTTCCTTTTCTTTCCCTCACACATCAATTTTCACACTAGTCATCAAAGCACATTTTCCTGCTGATTTTGTTCCTTGAATCTATTTTACAAGCAATCCACAACAATTTCTCCCTAGAAGTCTTGCTCATGCTCTCCTTGTTCTTTAAAATGGATGGTTTACTCTCCTGTGCAGAAGAGGTTCCACTGAGAGTGTACAAGACGGACCTCTTAACTTCATTTTTCAACTGCTTATTTCAAAATCTGCAGTGTACCTGAACTTCTTAGAGGAAAGGTCACTGGAATAATTTAAGAGAAGAAAAAAGAGCACAGATTCCCTATATAAAAGTCAATAAACTATTTTTGCTCAAAGGGTTTAAAAACATACCCTGAGATAGATATCTAGCCTGAAAAACTTCTGCTGAAATGCTTGAAATTTGACAAAATCCTGTGTAGAAGCAAACTGTTTTGAAATTAGAAGAGTCAAGAAGCACACCACCCTTAATAAAGTCAGAAAGTGAATGAATGCCACTTAATTATGTCATTTAATTTCAGGCACCAGAATTCCTGTAACATCAACTTCTTAACTGAGGAAAGCCATAGCAATGAATAATATGCTGCCAAAAAAATCCTCTGTAGATTCATTTCATCACAGTGTGATTTCAAAAGCTAAACAATGTCTCAGTTTATGACTTAAAATATTTTATGTAAATTTCTAAGTATATATGATCAATAAAAATATATATATTATATAGTATAAATACCAAATATAAAATATAATATATATTAATATATATATAAATATATAAACAAATAAAAAACTCAACTCTGAAAAAGAAATATCTCTTTGCAGAGATTTGCCTACACTTACAAAATCATTGTGACATGAAAAGCCACTAACAATCCAATTTTACTCACCGATCAGACAGCCTCAGTGGAGATTTCCCATGTCTCTGAGTGATGCTAAACAAACAAAAAAGATTTGGACAAAGAAAGATCAGTCCAGAGAGACATGTAATTTTAATTTTATGCCTAGGGATGGAAAGGAATTAGGGGAAAGGTTTTGTGTTCTCCTTACCTGATCTTTAAGGCTGGGCAAAGTGCTTCTGTATCCACACAGGAGAGCATCTGAAACACTCTGTACACATAGTATTTGTCTCTGTTAGAAGTAGACAGTGTTTCCCTGAGGATGTTTAGGTGAGCATCTCCAGTTGCACATTACAAAACACGGTGTCTGTCTCTAGGTATAAGGAGTAGCGTTTAACCACTCTCCGTGCAGGGTCTACAGCAGCTGTTAGAGCCTGCCAAGTGCTCCGAGAGCAGCCTGCCAAGAGGCTGCCTGCTAAGCAACCAAGAAAGGGGATGGTCAGAAATATGAGGGCAGAGGTAATTTGGTTGGGAGTAATTGTGTTGTGATAATATGCATTATTTTTAGATGGAGAACAAGAGGCAAGATCAATTCAAACTAAATGAACCCTATACAAGAAGACTCCAATAAACTCTGGGAACTGGAAGGTAAGTTCTCATGGGAAACATGACTAAAGCAGAAGGAATTCAGTAGAGTTGGCACCTCCTTAAAGAAATTACATTTAGGGTACAAACACAAACAATCCTACACAGTAGGAGGATAGGAAGTATAGTCAGAGATCAGCTTGGCTACTTGGCTAAGCAGCACGGTCTTCAATGACCTGAAACACAAGAAGGAAATGTACAGAAAGTGGAAACCAGGTCAAACTCCTAAGGACAAGCATGAAAAAATAGCACTAGATGCTGAAACAAAGTCATAAAGGATAAAGCACAAATTTAAGTGCAAAGAGCAATGGACGTAAGAGAAAGCAAGAAAACAAATCTGGAAGGGAAAGAAAAACTTAGTGACAGTTCACTTGCAGAAGGCTGATGTACATTTTCCATCATTCTTCATAAAAGGGTGAACTGTAATTACATGACTAATAACTAAACTCAGTAAGAGAGAATCTATCTAAAATAGGAAAAAGAACAAGATCAAAAAATAATTCCAGTGTACTGCAGTTCATATCATCCTCAAGTATACAACTACAGGATGTCCCCAGGAGAGCTCTCTAGTTGTTGTTGATGCAAGAAGTGTCCCTGCACTGATATAGGAACCTACGCCCCTGCAGAGATACGGATGTTCCTTCATAGGCTGCCAGAGGTGAAATAAGTGCTATACACACTAGCACCTGAGCCCAAGGATGTGCATGTTAAGATACCTCAGCAACAGAGAGAAGCAAAGTCAGATCTGTTAGCTTTTTCTGAAAACTCTCAGAAGTTGTGTGAGAAATGTGTGAGGTGCTGAACACAATGCTTATCTTTATAAAGTCAAGAAATGAAGAAGAGATCATTTCTGAAAAAATACTAGAAAAAATGAAAATATAGATTATTCATAAAAGATTGGAGATAGTTGAGGTACATTGCTTTGTACTTTTTGTCATGTTGGCTATTAATTTCTGTAAGATGGCAAGATGTCTTAAAAATAGAGAAGGAGTAGGTCATATAATATGTTTTAATTTTAATAATGTTACTGACTTTATAGCATTGACTCATAACATTTTCAAAAGTATACTAAAGTGAAACTATTTCTGGAAGAGTGAAAAACTACCTGAGCATAGGGAACAAATGAGGAAAACAAAACCAACCAAAAAAAAAAACAACCCAGCACTAAAACCACAGACTAAGATTAATTTTTAATCATTCACTATCAAATTCAAAAAACATATTCAGTAAGATCCCATCTGGGTCCATTCTGGACTGAGTAATGGTGCAGGTAATTAATGATTTGGATAAAGGAACAATCTTTCCAACTCACTGATAACAATAACCCATGTGAACAGCAAACTCATGGCATGATACATTAAACTCAGGATGCTTTTGACAAATAAATTATTTGTAGGAGAAAACATACTGCAATGCACTTGTGTTTACAAGTGTCAGGTTCTAAGGGGGAATAACAGCTCATAAAAATGTGGCAGCTATTCTGCCAAAAAAAGGGATTAGAGGGGTACTGGTCAGTCACAAGTTATTCACTTTACTAAATAAGTAAATAAGTAGTGTTTCATAATATCAAGAATGCAAACTGCATGTTAGGAAGAGAAACTGATTTGATTGTATATTTGGTTGATATATTAAGGAATACTTCCTATTATATTTCTGTCTACCACAGCAACCAGTAGCACTGTGTCCTGTTCAAGCAAAACTATTGCAATAGAAGGCAGACCAACTGGAAAAAGTCCAGGGAAAAGCAAGAAAATGGTCAGTTGTCTTAGGAAAAAAGAAAAGCCACAAGAAGGAGGGATTGAAAGAATTTGGGTTACCCAGTTTAAAGAACAGAAGGACAACTAAATGCATGAAAACTGTCATCTACATAAGTTACATCTAGGGAAGTAACTAATCCCCTCTAAAGAGGGATTATATTTTTTTTTATCTGTAGTGGCTAAAGTGATGGGTTCAAACTATAACACTGAAGGTTATGCTAAATATTAAGAAAATCTTATTAACAATAAAGACAGCTAGATCCTTCTTCATTTTCATTCCTATTGGTTCTGTTTTGGACCTCCAGAATGCACAAGATGAAGTCTTGAGGTCTTTTCCAGTCTCCTGTTCTTTAAGTCTGTGGTTCATCCTGTTGCATAATTTTGACACCCTATCTTACCTCTCTACAAAAACTACATTTATCAAAGTTTTCATACTAAATTACAAAAACCCAGACTGATTTCAGATAACTAATCTGGATTTTGGATAACTAAAGCAGCCTTGGAAAAGAAGTTCTGCATGAAGCCTTACAATGAAACTGTCTGGAAAGATAATAGCTTTTTTAATTATTGACTCTTCTCTGCCTCTTCCCCCTTAGATCCTACTTCAGCCTGAATATAGTAATAAAAATAAAACATGGGTTTTAATGACCCCTTTAATCGTTATTTAAGAAACAGGACCTGGTATCATGTTGTGTAACCATAGTATGGGTAGCAAATATGTGGCTGACCCTGCCTGTGCCCAGCTGTGAGCCAGGGCTCACTCACCATGGGAGGGCAGAATGAGGAATGTCTACAGGGAAGAAGGAGGAAGATGGTGGGAGCACTTTGTACAGTCACAATTCAGTAGCACTGTTAGAGCTATCTCTTGCTTTGTCCACACAAGAATAACTAAATGTATAAAGCATGTCTCTGTTACACATTTATATTCTGAGATTTTTTTCTCAGAAAATCTGCTAATACTATTCACAAGAATTTCTAACTAGTGAAGCACTCTTCATATAGGTGAAGCCCAAAGTGGAAAAAACCCACAAGGTGATCCTTCATTTCAGTTTTCCTTGCTTCAAATTTAGAACTATTTGTATCTTTCAAAAGGAAAAAATTAAAAAAAATATTTAAGCAGAGTATGGAATACAAGAAATAGAGGAAGCTGTTAATGATTGTAATAACAATAATTTGTATTTGTAATAATTTGTATTGTCAATTTTCAACCCCCATTCAAATGCTACAGGAGCTAAAAAAAGCAATTTACTGCTTCCAAAATAATGTAGTAGAACTCATCCTACAGGTAAAAGTGCTTAGAAGTTTAGGATTTTTATTGTGGAAAGGTTTACCAAGCAGCTTCAGGTTTTGGCATGAAAGAACCCAAAAACAAAGAGTATTCTGAAAATAATCTCAAAAATAAAATTTCAGTAAAAAAGCTCATGAGCACTTTTGTATATTCTATATGTTTTCATAAATAAGAGTCCTTGCACTAGTAAAAAAAATAGGTTCATACATCACATTGATAGATAAAAATTCAGAAATTTGAAAGGGCAAAAATTTCTTGCATTAAGATGCTTTTTTGGGTTTTGAGGTCAAGAGTTTCAGATATCAATAAAGAAACTGAAGAAATTAGATAAGATTGTATTCTGGTTTCCGATCAAAGTGGACAGAACAAAAATACAGAAAATGCAGAATGTAATAATCTGTGATGTTCAAATCAGTTTATAAACAATATCAACATTTCTTCTTTAAACTACTACATTAAATCTATTATCTAAAGCACATTTAGTTTTTTATGTGATTTGTGTATCTCCTTTACATGGATAGTTATACATAATATTTCCCAGATAATAGGAATTAATCCTGGATATCTGGCTTAAATTTTGTACTCTTCTTTTCCCCATGCAATTAAGGCAACATAACAAAAAAACTAACAAACCAGATGAAAGTGTTAACAACTGCAAAATTATTTCTGCATCTGAAGAGATCAGTTGAAAAGCCAATTGCCCTTGACATCACTAAACCAAAAACCAGAATTCAGTGTCTTTTAAAACACAAACAGGAAACACAAAAGTTTTAATTTACTAACAAAACACCTAGAATATGGGAAAAAAAGGAATCCTACTACTCTTCTAAAAGAAATAGATAAAAAAAAATAAGTACCTTTACAAAATTTTCTGCCTCTGGAGCTTCCTGCTGGATACAGCTTTGTGTAACTCTGGCTGAGTTTACTGCTTTCTGTTTACTTAATGCCTTAGCTCAGATAAAAAGAAGGTGTATCCTTGAATATTGTATGTACAGCACAGCACATTGTGGTCTTTCTTCAGCAAGCAAGTTTGAATTTTTTCTTAGCAATATTTGACTTCTGATAAAAGGGAAGAAAATATTTAGTCTGAGTGACCTTTACCTTTATTTTTAAAACTTCATTGATTTTAAACAATTTCCTTCATCTATGCACTATGCAGTCTTTTAATTTCTACTTCAAAAAATGTCTGACTCAAAGCTCACAGAAGTCTGCCTGAGACATTTCAGTCACTGATGTCAAACACATTGATTTCTGCCTATTCTGGAGGGGTATGCAATCACTTCTAGCCTGTCTGGGTGCCAAGAGCTGTTTGGTGACCTAAGGATGGACAAAAGTACATGTGTTAAGTATTCAAAGTGATGAAAGTGTATGCATTTGATTCACCCTGAGAGTGACATTGATAGAAGGACTGAAGGAGATAGAAAAATTACTAGATAGTAATTTATCTTATATGTAGAATTAAATACTTGAATAGAATGTATTTGGAAATATTTTAAAAATATCTGTCCTTAGCTCTCTCACAGATCACTGATGATACTATGAAATATCCTGTGTCAAGGGAATGCCTGGAGCCCCCGCCATCTAAAAGGACTTGACAGACTTGAAAAGTGGGCCTGTGAAAATGCCATGGAGTTTACAAGGCCAATTGCAAGGTTCTGCTCCTGGCTTGGGGCAATTCCAGCTACAAAGACAGGCTGGGCGTGGAATGATTGAGAACAGCCCTGAGGAGGACTTGGGGGTGTTAGTGAAGCTGGGCATGAGCTGGCAATATGTGTTTGCAGCCCAGAAAGCCAAGTGTATCTTGGCTGCATCCAAAGCAGCGTGGCCAGAGGGGTGAGGGATGGGGTTCTGCCCCTCTGCTCTGCTCTGCTCTGCTCTGCTCTGCTCTGCTCTGAGACCCCACCTGGAGTGCTGTATTCAATGCTGGAAACCCTAACACAGAAAGGACATGAACCTATTGGTCTGAGTCCAGGGGAGGGCCACAAAGATGGCCAGAGGGCTGGAGCATCTTTCCTGTGAAGACAGGCTGAGGGGGTTGGTGTTATTCAGTGTGGGGAAGAGAAGGGTCTGGGGAGACTGAATTGCAACTTCCCAGTACCTAAAGGGGGCTTATAAGAAAGATGAGGACAAACTTTTCAATAGGGTTTGTAGTGGTAGGACAAGGGGCAATGTCTTTTAACTGAAAGAGAGTATATTTAGACTAGATATAAGGAAGATGTTTTTTATTGAGAGGGTGGTGAGACACTGGAACAGGATGCTCAGAAAAACTGTGGATACCCTGTCCATGGATGTGTTCAAGACCAGGTTGGATGAGGCTTTGAGCAACCTGATTGAGTGGAAGGTGTCCCTGCCCATAGTAGTTGGGTGGTTGGAACTAGGTGATCTTTAAGGTCCCTTCCAACTCAAACTATTCCATGATTCTATGGAAACAGTTGTTCAAAAACAAATATGTAAATAGAGGATGAGCCTATCCTATGAACCTGTGTATTGTGACGGCAACTTTATCAAGGGCAGGAAGTGCATTGGAAGAGGTAAACTTTTTTTTCGTACTGAAACAAACAGCAACTTAAGCTCATTAAAGTTTGAAGTGTAATTTGAGTCACAGTAGTACTCTGTAGTTCTGAATCAGCAGCTTTGCCTGGGCTTGTCTTTTAGTTCATTTCACACCCTCATTTGTACCTCAAAAGTGAGACTGCAATTTGCAAAAGAGCTAGGTGGTTATTTTGGAAGAAGAAAATCAGACCACATCACTAGACCACAGTGACTGCCTAAAGAGATGCATCACATATATCTATATACATATACACATATACACATACCTATAGACATATGTCAAGTCTAACCAAGTCTACAGCATGAGCCTGATTTCTTCAATTTCTGTAAAGCCTAAAAGTGGTATGGTTGTGATTAAAAAATGTAGAAGTGCAAGTGACTTCCTTGATAAATTTGCTGATTTTGTGTTTTCTGCAGGTATAGCACTATGTTACCTACTGTACATTTAAACAAAATGGAAGAAAACCAACAGAAGTTCACTGGAAGTTGCCTCCCAGTATGTTTCTTTGTTGTCAGTGACTTAGGAATCCTTTGGTGAATGATTAACTTTATTGGCTATATTATTGAATTACAATAATAAGTTTATAAAATTTAATAATTGGCAGATTATTATCTAAAATCCAGATCTTGGTACTGTACCCTGAGACAGAACAACACTTTATCAAATAAAATCACGTCAATTATACGTTATCTTTAGAAGTTAAACTACCTAAAAAAGCAACTGTGACAGAAGTATGACATACAGGCAATAGTTTTCAGTTATGACTGTTTTTAGGAGTGCAGTACCTAGAGAAGAATCAGAATATAATTTTTCCTATTTGCTTGTATAACAGAAACACATCCCTACCCAGGAACCTTAATTACAAAGGAGTACTACTGATAGAACAAACTAACCTTGATGGAGAGGGCTCATTATTGGGGAGGCTAAGGAGAAGCTTCCAACATTTTGGCAAGAGTGACTTTGTTATTAGAGAAATAAGGGGGGGAGGTGGTTCTTACTCTCATATTTCTATTAAAAGAATGGGGCAACATGTTTGTGGTACAGGAAAGGAATAAGAAGATCATGTTGCCAATGTGAAGGAAATAAACAAATGCTGATATTTTTACAGAATAACATGGTGCAAACTGAAGAGAATCTCTCTATCTCAGCCTTTTAAAACAACTCTCTGGTGGAGCTTTTTTTAATTTTACTTCTGTTTCTACCTGTGGTAGGGAAGTGGGAAAAAGGGAAAAAGTGCCCATGTATTCAATTGTGTTGCCTTGTGTTAAAACGTCCCACAGCTTCTGCAAATTTGGAAAATCCAGCTTGTTACTGACTTAAGAGGCTTTTTAAAGAGATATAAAGTACCCCAATACAGATGTAGTATCATGAAGATCCATGCCCAGAACAATATTTGTACCCTCCTGGTTCACATCACAGATTTATGAGAGCTTCTTAGCAGAATTACTGGAAGTTTTAGTTTGGGGAAGATGTTCCTAGATCTAATGGGGCAAGGGACTCTGGTTGTCTATGCTAGTCTCTTGAAGAACTCATGTCTGATTTAATTACCACTTAAAACTAGATATATATGTTTGGGATTGTCTTGGTTTAGGGCAAATTTGGGAAAGAACTTCTGAATGGGGTCCCCTCAGAAAGCAAATCTAAGCGGCTTCTCTTTTCAACTGGTTCAGGAAAGGAGATGTCTTTGGAGAGAAGTGTGAAAATAAACTGTTTATTTAACAGAAATTGAATAATAACAATAAAACCCTTCATTGTTTGATGAAATGGCAAATCCAGGAAAAAGTCTTTTTCATGTAGTGTAGCTTGGCTAGCTCAGGTTCTTATCAGTTCTTCCAGGGCCGGAAAATACTGAGGTCCAGGCCCTGGTGGGCCACAGGCGTGAGCTTCCGGAGTTTGTCTGGGTTTTTCAGTCTAGAGCAGGTTTGAACAGATCTAAGGGAAAAAAAAGGAAATATAAAAGGTCCAGGGGACTTTTCTGCTTCAGCTAGCTAAAACTAACTGACAGCAAAGGAGAACTCTGTCCTGCAGTCCATCTGTGCTGCAGACACCACAGTCCAGGAGTAGGATGTGGGGGAGTGATATTTTTTTTCAACACAAACTGCGCGCTTCTTCTTCCCCTCTTCACTCTCAGAGCCAGTCTTAAAGGTGCAGAACTTAATATGTAACATAAACCAGGTGATTGGGGATACAAGCATCATAAAGTCACCCAGGACAAGATAAAACACACTCCTCCAAAAAGCACCCAACCCTGATTAAAATGTTTGTAATTATACGGAATCCATCCTCTGTTCTTCTATCTTAACTCTCCATCACTCAAGTCTTTCCTAATGAAAATCATCACTTTTTTCCCAGCTTGAATTTGTGAAAACTCAGTCACCAGCCCCAGAATCTTGTTAAATGTTTCTCCAGCCAGACTGAACCAACTTCTACTATCAAGTTTTGCTGTGCAAAGTAGAACACAGACAGGAATAAAAGAAAACCAAGAACAGCTGTTAACTTTGAAATGTACTCTACATAAACACATTTCAGTAATTTTGGTTATTCTTACGACCCTCCCCAATCTTCAATATTATTCATAATGTACAAAGAGAAGTACTGGAGCTGGTGCCAGGAAAGAGCATATATCAGTATCAAAGAGAAGAGTTTCAGTTTCATTATGTCAGTGTTTGAAATGCAGTTTTTTCCCCAGAATATAACACATTGGAGCCTAGAGGGCTGGATTCATGCTCTCTTGTCATATGATGGCATGTAGCAGGCATTAGTCATTTCACAATTTTATCCTTTATCTTCTAAAACAATGACCTGCAACATACTACACTAATATACAACTAATATACATTGATCTTGCTTTGAAAATATCAAATAAACTTAGTTTTAATTGCAAAAACGTAAAACCAAAAAAAGTGAAAATCAAACTTGAACATTTTCAATCAGAACAAAAAGAATTGGGAAAGATTATAAGAAAGAAATTCTTAAACACTAAGAAGTTGTACAAGCTTAAAGTAGGAGTAGCTGTATACCCTTTACCTCTATACGTGGATAAACATTAACATACTTACATGGTTGTTAAGAAGCATAATAATATCAGTTACATGCAAACCACTGTATTATTTGTCCCAAGTAAACAGATGAAAATGGGTGAAACACATTTAAATCTCCTGGAGATAAATTTCTAAGTGCAGGTGTGTCTCAAACAAACATTTGGCAGGGAAAAATCTTGGTCACAGTCAAACAGGGTGATCTTCAAAACTTGATCTAGGGATAAGATTCTCCATGTAAAAAATAAAATTACAATAATACCCATATATGTTACTGATATGTTTGAGTGTCGAGGCAAATAGTTGAAGTGACAGGGTTTCCTAATAAAAGACCAACAAGACCTCTGGAAGCAGATAGCAGGAACAGCAATTGGGCTGCATTCTCTGTATAAGCTCTCTTAATCATTGGATAGTTGACATGCCAGCTGGCTTTTCCGTAATTCAAAACTATTTAAATTTGGTTATTTAAATAACCAATGCAAAATAAGGCTTGCTCTCATTATTTTATAATCAAACTCCTTCAAAAATCTTGAAAATAACCCAAACCAACCAAAGAAGCCAAACACACACATACATACAAAGGAATATAAAAAGGAAAGGAGAATATGCATAGAAACCTCCATGGTCCCTCAGTTAATATGGCCCAGAAAAATAAAACTCACAGTTAGGGTGTTGCCCTTCACACACCGGTTATTCACAGTGCTCTTCTCAGATCTTAATAACTGCACTCTTACCTTGCTGTAATCACTATATTCAGAAGTCTGACATATTACATGCATTGTCTACCTCTCCTTCCAATCCTTCACTTCGATCACACCACATATCAATTGCTTGTCTGTGTTCTGAAGACCCCTTATGTCTTTGCTGTGTTCATCAGAAGTGCTCTCTCAGCTGCAAGATTTCCAAACTCGTACTGTATTACTGGTTCTTCTGGAGTTGAAGAAAATTAAACCAATAGCATTCCTCTTAACTAGATAATTTCTTTTATCAAAGGTATCAGATAAGTACACCACTATCGACCTTTGGAAAAATTGATGTTCTATTTTATTTTCCTGCTTTACTTCTTTCCTTAAAAATCTTGAAAAATAAATGTAAAAGCTGAAGTTGTTAAGCTTAAAGAAGAGAAGACTGATATGAAACATAACAGTCTTCAAGTAAAAGATACCTTTGCAAAGAAAAGGAAATAACCTCTTGTCTTTGGAAGGAATGAGAAATAGTGTGTGTGTGCTACAGTAAGAAACTTCAATTAGATATTGGAAATAAACATTTAGTGATAATGTTGCTACACTCCAGCGAGAGGCCATCTAAGTAGGCTGCAGTTTCTCTGCCAGCTGGAGCTTTTGTGGCTGATCTGCATGTCTCCCTTCCCTACCTCTCTGTCACTCTCACGTTGTGGTTTTCTCCATTCTCAATGCTTCCCCTCCTGAAAGACCAGAGTTAATGAGCTCTCTGCATGAGAGGGTCAGCTCTAGTTTTCACTTTCATGAGAGAGAAAGAGGAGATTTTTTTTTGCTGTTCTCAGCCCCAGCCTATGCAGCCACACAGTACAGCAGCTGGAGAGCTGCCTCTGGGAGCACCATCATTACTTTCTCTCACAAAGAAGGTTTGTTCTGCACTAGTAACCTAAAACAGGGACCAAAAATTCTGTTCTGTTGTGGAAAGTCTATGCACACACCCACACATATGCTGGGGTTGCTGCCTTTTCATGCTTGACCGTGAGTTCCACACAATGAGCACATCAGTGGCCACCGACAGACAAGAAAAATTACTTTTTTCCTTGATGGAAACAACTGCTAGAAGAGTGCTCCCAAAAACCCCAAGCATATTCATTAGGGTCCCAGAAAAAGAAAAGTTTTGTTTTTCTGGGCTTTATGAGCATTTCTCAGTCAAGTCAGGGTCGTGATTTTGCCAAAGATCCGTTTGCATGCTAAGATGATTATCTTGTCACATACCTCTGCAGATGCAGATACACCTCCAGGTGTGTATTATGCAACAGGTGAAGAAAATGCATTTGTCAACTAGGCAGAAAAATTGGGATGTGCAGGTAATGAATGCCAAGGGAAAAAAAGGACAGATATTCATATTCTGTAATTGCCTTCAGACTCCACAGAAGGCTTAAATCTGAGCCCATTGCAGTGAGGTTATAATATGGAATAATGTGGTTTCTCTAAGAGATCAGACCACTCTGAAATTTTCTAGCCACCAGAGCAAAGTATGGATGCAGTTCAATTCTTAAAATTCAATCATCTGTGACTCAACTGCAATAATTAAAATAGTGCTGGCGCCAGTCAGTATAATAATTCTAGAAAGCTTCTGACAGTGCTCCTCTAGCTGTAACAGAAATGTAGTAATCAAGAATGGGGCTGTCAGAAGTTAGTGCAATCTTTTGTTCCTTCATTTTACTTATTGAGAACTGATATAGTGTAGGTGAGCAGTCCTTGGATCCTAGCCTTTAGACCACTATTCTTTATCTACCCACAAATTGGTTCATTCTTTTAAAAATTAGTCTTCTCATTGCCTCAACTCCATCCACATTTTTTTACCCTAAACAGAGACCAAAGTTTCCTGATAGTCTGTAAGCTTTATTTGGAATATCACATTCTCTGCTCAAATGCTGCCATTGTGCTAATAGATAATAAGTCAGACTACTTAATTAAAAAAATGTCAAAGGGTCCCCTGAATGTCACCTAGTCCAACCCCCCCACTCAAAGTGGGACAATCACCAGCACCAGACACATCACCCACAGGCTTGTCAAGATCTGAAAAACAGAAACATAAGAAGGTAGAAGGTAGATGGTAGGAGGGTACTACTAGAGCTTGCACAGTGTTGGTCGGTGTTCATTCACAGGGAATATTTCCCTGATACGTAGCTATGGTAAGGAGACAAAAGCCTTTGGACACTCTTCTGAACACACACATTTCTATGCTCTAGTCCTGGTAATACAACAGAAGGGTATTTGAAGACATTTGAGGTAAATCTCCTTGTTTATCTTTTGCAACACAGATTGACAGTTTCCTTTACCTGTATGCTTATGATTGCTTTGACAAAAATCCCAGAGCAACTTGGATCATTTAACACAAATCTGACGTGAACAACAAGGTGTATTAAGTTATGCAACAGTACAAAATAGCTGTCTTTTTTGCTGTTCCACAGGAAAGTTTTCACTCAAAAAATTGCTCCAAATTAAGAGCTAAGGCCTCATGAAGAGCCAAGATGTTTTGCTGCTAGTAGAAGTGTTAGCTGTGAAAATAGGATAGTGGTGTTGGGAGTGAAATCAAAGATATGGCTGTCACCTAGAGTGTCTGGGAACTGCTATGAGGAAGTTTTCCCTGACACGCAGAATAAGTTGTCCCATTGAGAAGGGATCACGGCATACTCACTAAATTCAGGCAAGTTTAGGAAGGAATTGTGCCTAATAAATCATAAAATAGTTTGGGTTGGAAGGGATCTTTAAAAGCCATCAGCTCCAGCCCTCATGCCATGAACAAGGACATGTTCAACTAGACCAGAGTGGTCAGAATCTGATCAAATGAAGTCTTTCTGATAATCCTAATACACAAGGAAAGTAGTGCACCCATACCATCTCCTCTAACAGTTGTATAGGCCCTGGCTGCTGACCACCTCCACCTGTCCCCATATGAGAGGACATGTCTTTTTCTGGAGACACCTCCCCAAAAGGTCCTTGCAATCTTCTTAGCATCAGCATGGTCATTATGTCTACTTCTGCATATCTGACTCTTGTGGGACCTTTTCCATAATCTCTTGCTGTAGAGCTGAGAACAAACCAATGGGTTAAATAAAGTTGTATTTACATTGTGCAATGCCAGCACTTACAGCCAGCTATGCTGACTGGCTTTCATAGAGTGTGTCTTGTTTCCTTTCTTCTGCTGTGTAGTAAGAGTAAATTTACCACCAGCTTTCTGATGGTATCTCAGTACAATGACATACAATATAGCCATTGTGCAATCTATTCTCAGATTCCACTATACATTAACAGATTTTTACACTTTACAGATTTTTGATAACTTGAAAAGAAATTTGGGTGAAGTTATTTGTCTTAACTACATCCTGCCAAGAGTGATATGGTTTATAATGCTAAGCAGTGCTTAAACAGCACTGAAAATGTACACTTTGTGAGGAGAAATGGAAGGGCTCTGGGAAGGCAAATCTTAAAGAAAAGGCAGACTAATATATTTTGGGCTATCCTCTCAAAACTGCCCTAGAAGCCAGAATATTTTAGGGATAAGGGACTGCAATAATCCATTCAAAGAAGCGCTGAGAATGCTTCCTCTTCCTATGACCAAAAGTTTCACAAAAGTAATATTTTTTTCTCTGCAACACAAAAGACTCCAGTCTTTGCAGAAGACTGGAAAAGGTGTGCAAGCACTGTGTAGTCTAATATGTAAGCAACAGGTAATTGGGAAAGGAGAAATTATTTTTTTCATTATTTTGTTTAAAGGTTATCTTCCAACACCAATAATCAAGTATCTCCTAATAAAACAGAATAGCCTGGATTTTTGCCCACAACTTGCAAGAAAACATTAGAGAGGTTTGTTTTCAAGAACTGCTGGTTCTTTCTTCCTGTATCCTATTTTTGCTTACATTTTTGTAAAAGTAACAATTAAAGGTAAATCAGGTTAGACATTGCTGATTTTAATCCCTGCCCTCTCTTTAAGATTACCTCCTTAAGACACCTAAAACATTTCCAACCAGAAAAAAATTACAGGAAGTCTGATTAAGATTTCAAACTCTCTTTGTGGGGATTGGGCTGAATATTGATTTGGGAAGGCAGATGAAAAATAGAAAACAATGAGAGGAGAAAATGCACTAAACATAGGCCCCCCAGGGAAAATCCTAATGCAGTAATACACTTAAAGTGCCTACTGAAAATGTATTAGCTATGGAAAGTTACCTGAGAGTCTTCCTGTACTCAGGAATGCAAATTCTGTCTTTACTCACAGAACTAGGCAATCTTCGTATCTAGGTCTTCTGCCAGTTTTTCTTCCTCCTACATGACTCTTAACTCTGGTATCTGCCTGGAGATAGAAAGTGAGAATTTCAGGCATCTTGCTCTTCTGAATGTGATACATGTTCAGAAACTGCAGGTTTTTGGTTTCTCCTGGTCTAGCAGTTCCATAAAATTCCATATTAGGTGTAATAAGGAAAACAGACACATCATTTTAAAAGGTTTTGTACTGTAAATAAAACCTTTGGACTGGTGGACAAAGATGGGTAAGAACTGACTAATGGATAGTGACTATTGTGTGTTTTTCTGATCATGCAGAGCTTGGCACTTTATTTTCAGGAGAGTGAATCAGAAGAGTAGTTGTTACACTCAAAGTGTAACCAAGTGTAAACTAAAGCCCTCCAAGGGCCTTGGTTAGCCTGGTCACTATTATCAGACAGTCATTTCACCATGGTTTTCTAGAAATAACCCGAGCTGGATCTTCTGGTATAAGACTGACTAATGATTGAGATTTTTTTGCAGACACTAAAGTGTTAGATTTAAAGCTTCCCTGATTAATCTAGGGGATATTGACTACTTTTTGAGGAATAAAACAAGAAAATTCTTGTTAACAGAAAGAATAGAAGAATTTCAGGTAAAGCAATCTATCTTGGGAAACACAAGTAACCCAACAGTTAAAAAAGAAGTAGGAAAACAAAACCTACATCTTTAAAATACAGTATATGTACTAATTGTACTGATCAAGGCTTTTTACCTAGGCTGGACCAAAGGAGAGCGAAGGCAAGGGAGGTAGTTAAGAGACAGCCACAGTATCAGCACAGGCTTGAGCTCTGCTCTGGTGCAGGCTCACCTGCAGTCCTGTGTGCAGTTTCGGGTGCCACAATATAAGAAAGACATGAAACTCTTGGAGAGCGTCAGAAGGAGGGCCATGGGAGAGCGTCAGAAGGAGGGCCACGAGGATGATGAAGGGCCTTGAGGGGAAGCCGTATGAGCAGCAGCTGAGGTCTTGGTCTGTTCAGCCTGGAGAAGAGGAAACTGAGGGGAGACCTCACTGCAGTCTGCAACTTCCTTGTGAGGTGAAGAGGAGAGGCAGACACTGGTCTCTGCTGTGTGATGACCAGTGACAAGTCTAGGGGATGATCCTGTGCAGGGCCAGAAGTAGGACTCAGTGATCCTTGTGGGTCCCTTCCAACTCAGCATCTTCTGTGATTCTGTGATTTTATCTTCCACAGGCAGAACTGAGAGCATGAGGGAGCTGGGAGGTTCAAGTGCCACAAAACACAACTATGAGTCAAAGGTGTGACCTGGCTGGCATAGAAACAGAGTCACATTAAATGCACCACTCACCTGCTTGCATGTTGGTCACATCACAGCATTGCACTAGTGACTAGAGACAAAAGCCACAGCCCTTCCTCAGGGCAGTATTCCTGTTATGAAGACTGAGTGCATGGAGAAACTCCAGCATCCAAGACGGAGAGCAGGATGGCGGCTGCTCCTGCAGGGCTGGGCCCAAGGGGATCCCCAGGGTGGCAGGGCCCGTCCTGCTGATAGAGACAACAGCTGGGTCCGACTGACAGACCAGGCTCATGGGCCTGGGCCAGGGCTGGCCAAAAAGCCAACCCACAGGACGGGGCTCAGCTCCACCATGGCCATGGGGACAGGCTGTGCCAGGGCATTGGCCCAAACACAGGTGGGGGCCCAGAGCCAAGGTGTTCCACAGGCACAGCTGAGCTGGAGGCCAGCACCTGCCAGGGCAGGCAGAGGCTGAGGGCCCTGGGCTGGGCTTACAGCGAGCCCTGGGCCTGTGGCTGTGGGGAGGCTCTGGCTGAAGCAGGTCCGGGCTGGGTGGTATCCCCAGAGCTGGCACCGCTGCTCTGGGGGGCCCTAAAGGTGACATTGCTGCTTACAGCGAGCTGTGGGCCTGGGCCTCCTGACAGTCTGACAATATAACAGTGCTAAGGTTCTTCTTATACTCCTGTATTTCTTTACTGCAATCCTTTTTTTTTTTTTTTCATTATTTTCATTTGTTTGCTGCACTTTGTGAAAAACGCTTTTTACTAGATTTTCTTAAACTCCTTTGATTGAGCTGATTGGTCATCAGGAGAATTTAATTTGCCTGTAGGAGCCACAACTTCCCTAAATGGATGGCTGAAAAGAATTCTTGGGTCTCAGGTATTTTCTGACTAGGTCCCCACACTGGTGTTGGAGACAAATCTCTCATCCCCTCTAAGCCCAGGTGAACAGCGGCTCCCTGGAGCTGCAGCAGTCTCCACAATGCACTCCATGCCAGCTCCCCTGTCCTTGCAGGGCTGCAGCCACGACTGCACAGATGAGGCTTACAGGGCTTTGGTTTCCCATGGAATGCCCATGAGTCCTTGTTCTCTTTTGTGCATGTAGTTAATAATTTTTGAAAGGTAACCTTCCCATAAAATTTCGTATCTGCTGTTGGAGCTTTAATCTCATTTGCTGGAGAAAGTAAGATAAATAGTGAATGGAAATAATCAAACTGCTGTGCCATAACTGCATATTTTCTTTACTTTAAGCTTTTAACAGACCCTCAGCCCTCTGAAATGTTCAGTTCACAATTCAAATTTAAAATCTTTGGTTTTTTGTTCCTCGTCTTGTTTGTTCAGTGCCTCACTCCCACTATTCTGCTGAAAAATGGGCAAGTGTGAGTAACTAAGGCAGAAATAACACATGCACCATGCTGCTGCAATTAATCTACAAGTTAGACAAATATAGTCCAATCTTAAACTTTAGTTTACCTGGTTTATTTTCTGTTTCAAACATTGCACTTTTTAATCTATCACACCAAAACCTCTGCTCTGAATCAAAAACTTATAAGAAGGATATATTTTTAACAGACTTGAAAGACAGTAGGGGGTAAACATGGAGCTTAGGACAGAATGAACTATTGACAGAAATCTGGTACATCTTGCATGTCCACACATCAACAGCTGATCTGAGTTGATCATGCCACTTTCAGAAAGGAACAATTATCTTTACAACCCTCTCTTCCATAAGAAAAAAGATTACACAAGGCATTTTCAAATGTCATTTCATGATTTCCAAAACAGCTCCTAGCATTTGCTCTCTACAATGCTCTCCTAGCATTGTCTCACTCCTGTTCCTCCAAGATGTCAAATTTTAACAGCCTGATCTGTATTTTAACTTAAAAACTCCTACTTCTCTTTTTCCCCCTTCCCCTTTTTATGCAATAATTCAAATATCCATTGTTGCTTTTATAAATAAACTGATATATATAACTGAAGAACTGATATTGTTCAATAATAATTTTGCACCTACCTGATGAAAATTTAGACAGGCCTCTGGTCTTTCCAACTTGTTTTCCACTGTCTCAATCTGCTTTTTTCTAGAACATTTTCAGTTTTATTTTTTGCTTGTGCCAGCAACAGATCACAATATTCAGATTTTTTACCCATTATATTGTCAGGAAGTTCAGGTCTGAAATTTTTATTGAAAACTACCTGATTTCAAACATTTTTAGCTATGCCAATTAAGACTTTGGGCTTAACTCTATAGTTTGAAAATTTCCGTACTTTTTCTTTCACGGGAATATTGGATTGCGGATACTCTGCATTCAATAGAAAATGGATACAAATCTATCCTTTTGCAAAACATTAGGACTTATGGTAATCACACTAGATACTATTTTTAAGCAATTATCACCTTTAGCATGGCATCACATACATTCCAGATCTTACTTACAACTTTTTTTAAAATTACATAGGTTATTTAGTACTTGAATTGAACTGTTTCTTTGAATTGAGAAAGTAATCCAGACTGGAAGAGAATTTTAAGCAAGTGCAAGCAAATAGTGACCATTTTTCAACTGCAGATCTAAAGTTTCTGCAGCTATCTTTGCAAACTTTTCTTGAGTATTTCTAGGGTTTTTTTTATGTTTCCCATTCTTTGATGTATTTCTAAATCTACATTCCTTTGAGGCTAACAGTTTACAATTTTAGCCATTTTTAGGTTGTATTAGTCCCCAGAGCTAAATGTAAGAAAACTGTTAAACCCTCATTTTCCATAATTACATAGAATTAAGCAATTGTATAGACTTTGCTGTTCTATTTATCAAATACCCCCCCACATTTCTGCTGGAACACTCAAGAAACATTTGTAGGTGTGTTGTAGGTTTTTGGCAGTACAGCTACATCTTGTATTACAGCAATTTCCTTCTCACACATTTAAAAACATTTTTACATTGATCATCCTGTCTGTGAATATATGTCTACCTAATGTACACATTCTCCTAACAAGCCCTGGCACGTTTGAAAACATGGAATAAATATTTCCTTTCCTAAGACATTTGTATGCTATTTATTTCCAAGATTTTATTTTATCTTTACACCTAAGTTATTTATGCCTGGGTAATTATTTCTGTGAGTCATGTTTAACAAGAATATAGTTTTCTCATTTTTTTCTTAATGTATATTAATACCTCACTGCCTGATAAATATGTATTAAGATTTCAGACTACAGGTAGATGTTCCAGTCTCTTGACATAGCTCTTCCTTTAATGTTCTCAAAATAATAATTTTATGTTCCACTAAATCCATTTACTAAGTTTCTTGGTAAGCATTTTCAGTCCTTGTGTTTGGGCTTTGTGAAATAGTTTTGTTATGACAGTTTAGAAATCACTTTCACTTTAGAAATGCTGGGAGTCACTTCAGCCTCTGTTGCTTCCTTGTGCAGTCCTGTGTGCTGCTCTCTTTCAGTGTGTGCTGACTGCCTTTTGCAGACTCCTTGGATTTTTAGCCTTCATTCTTCTGTGCTTGTTTGCACCATTGTTTTTTCAGGTGTTTATTTAATGTCATCCAGAATAGAAAAGGCTTTTTGCCTTTCAGCACTTGGAGCCTTATTGGTTTTATTTGGGTTCCTGGTGCATTTGATTGTTGTTTACTAAGTATAAATTGGGCAATTCTAACTATATTTTCCTCAGTTGTGAATATTGACGTCTTATTGCAAAATGGCCTTGGACCAGATAGCCTTTCCCCAACATTTTTTTATTCATTTTTATTGTAAGGACTTTATTTCTTTCTGGAAATTCTCTGTTCTTTAGTACTCAAATGACTTTTCTTAACTTACCTACTATTTTTGACTGATATCTAGCCTCTGAAACAGCAACCTTTTTGAACAGCTGCTTTATTTCCCTTCCTCATGGTGCTCAGGGTTAAACATGACTCATGCACATGCACCTCTGATTTGCCTGCCATGCTTCTGCAGCATTTCAGGCACCTGGGGGTTTGATTTTTCTCATCTTATCAAGCTCTTATGCAGTTTCTTGACACACTCTTTTTCCTGCCCTGCTCCTGGCACAACTCCCTGTGTTTGGCTGCTAGTGAAGATGATGTTCCTGGTTCCAAGGAGCCCTCTTTCACAGTAGCTAGAGTGAAATCAGCTAGTGACTTAGAATCCAGAGGAGACCTTAATAAAACACCATCAGCTTGCCCAGCTAGGCACTCCTGTGTCTCTGTGCCTCTTTTTCCAAGGTTTCCTCTTGGCAGGGCAGGCAGGAGGGCCTGGCAGTAGTGCAATGATGGCAGGGGGACGAAGTAACTGTGTGAGTACAGTATGTGCTCCCTGAATAGACAAAGCACTTTCCTCTGCAGGGTTGCAAGATGAGCACTCTTCACCAGCACCATGTTTGTCCAGAGTCAACAAAGGCTAAGGTATGGCAGATCAAAAAATTAACAAATCAAGTTGTTGTGGCATTATAATGCTGAGATTTCAGCTTCTCTTGAGTGAAGTTTTAATCTTTCTATAGTATCGTTTTCCTTCATTCTGCACCGAATGCACTGGTTTAATTCTGTTATAATGAGCCTGGACAATTGACTTCTTTTAATCCAAAAGGATAGGTTTCTGTGGAGGACAGTCACAGTTTTCTTCATTCCTCAGTTTTCTGTGAAAGTCACATTCTGTGTGTCAGAACTACTCAGTCCTAACAGTAATGCACTTAATGTCTTCATTTAGGCCATGAAGTAAAGCTGAAAGCATGTTCAGGCTTGGAGAGAGAAAGGGAAAGATATGATGAAACAGTGATTGTGGTATACCCATTGTTTTACCACTTGAGAACTGTATGACCTTTGAGTTTACTGAGAAATATGAATAAACACGTGAACATAGTAAGCCATTTCTCTTCTCTGAAAGCTTACAGTGTGTTCAGGTTTTCGGAAGAGACTTTTATAACATTTGTTTTTGTCAAAGATAAAGGACAGTTCCTCCTAGCTACCTTTACTCAGCTCCAGTGCATACATTGTGAAGTTTTCTCTGTAGAGCATGAAAAGAAACAGCAACTCCAGTGAGCATAAATATTTGAGGACAGATTAGAATTTTCCATCCCCATCATACATTCTTAAAATAAGCATGACTTGGTTTTGTTCATGTTTTTCCAGGAGCACAAGCAAATCTGCAGAACTAATCTAGATGGAACAGAAAGTTACGTGCGTTATTGATGGGGAAAGAAGAGAGTTACCAGCAATCCTGTGAGGACATGACAGACACCGTTACAAGAAAAGGACCCAGGATAATTTGTATGAAGAGAAACACAAAATCAGCAAAATAGGGTTAAACAAGGTCACCTTAATTGCTTACAAGCAATTGCGTGGAAGCAAGGAGTGCCTGCAGGGCACCGTGATGGGAAAACCCAGTAAGACATCAGTGTGTCTGCACACACGCATGCAGCACGGGAATAACCATGA